AACTTTTGATTTTTCACCAAGTTTGTTGTTGCATGCAGGAAAGTTGCTAAATGTTTGTGTGGTAAACAATTGTCGAAGACCGTATGAAAAATTATGGGCAAAATTAAATGTTGATTCCCCATATTATCAATTGCAAAATTGATTTTTGTTGGTGATGGAACGCCATATTTTGAGACGTTGCACCTACAATCCACATCAAAAAGGTTCTGACACCTACGGCTTTCCCCTGCTTCCCCTCTTCAATGTTGTGATCTGTTGATATTTTTGCTTTCCACCCGATGAATCCGCTGCTTTCACCAACATTGAGCAGGGGGAAGGAGGACAACACTTATCAGTTAAATATTGGCAATGTCACAACTATTTTTGTCACAGGTTGTAGATATGCCATCAAAGAAGCTACACTCTAAGTCAATGCATCTCAATATAAATAATTCTAGTGTTCGGAATAAAATATTTGAAAGATTACCCTCTAAAGAATCTGCAACAAATTGTGATGCTATCAATAGTTTTAGCTCCTTAGTCAAAATTACGCATGCAGAAGTGCTTCAAATTGAGCAAAACACTAGACAACAGTCCTTGAGTGATACCTGGTTTGATGAACGGCAAAAAAGGTTTACATCTTAAAATTTTGGAGCAGTTGTTAAGCATAGGAAACAAATATTCCCTAACTCACTTGCAAATGAAAGCAATCTACCTGTCCCAAACCTTGTTAGTGGGGGAAAAGATAAGGAAGGGAAGGCAATTCAGGAGTACTATAAATTAAAAAGAAAACAGGGGAAATGTTGACATTTGCACAAGTTGTGGGTTTGTTGTGAATTTGCAGTTTACATGGTTAGGTGCTAGTCCTGATTTTTTAGTGTTTGACAGCACAGAAGCAGCATCACTCGGCATCAGAGAAGTCAAATGCCCGTTCTGGAAAAAGAACTTAAGCATTGATGATGCTTGCAATGACAAAAACTTCTTTTTAGAAAAATTGAATGGAAATGTCAAATTAAAGAAAAGCAACAATTATTTTTATCAAATTCAAGGGCGTATGGCCACACTTGATGTTAGCTGGTATGGTTTTGTTGTTTTCACAAATGTTGACTTGTATGTTGAGAGGATCTACTTTGATAATGACTTCTGGCAAAAAGTTGTTCCAGAGGTAAGTAGTTTTTACTCTGAATACATGTTACCAAAATTTTAATACAGAATATACAATATAATTATGCTAACAAGGTGCAATTACTATTTACTAAAAGTCAGTGCTTGCTCCTATTTAAAATTGTTTTTACCACCTATCATTAAGGAAAAACAAGTTTAAACTGTTGAGTCATGACTCCAAATGTGTTCTAAGTTCTCAGCCAATGTCAGGTCAGGGGAACTACCTGATGCAAAACTTTATATGTTTTTATTGTTGCGATTGCATGCTCAACATGTACACAAACTGATGCAATTTTTTGTGTTTTCCCATCATCCTCTGCTGATAACTGAGGCTGTCCATTTAAAAAGGGTGGAATGTTTAAAGACACTCCATTTGGCATGTCTGCCATCAATTCATCTTCTGGTTCGAGAAGCTTTAATATACCACAGTCTTGTGTAATCTTCTTATCACTAGTTGTTCCTGCATACAGACTATTGAGATAAAAAATTGGGTGATATTGCAATTAAGCCCTTTGCTGTAGTATTGTGGTTTTTGTAGCTTGAGAATGTGATGGACTGACTTCTGCATGATGATGGCATCTTAATGAAAATTTCAGTGCAGTCAATTATTACTCTAGTTTTTGGATATGTTAGTTGAAGACAGCCAGGCATGTTATCGTCAACAAAATTCTGAATGGGCCAAATGAATGCAGATTTTCAAAATTCTAGAGACTTGTGTCGTCGAAATACTAAAGCGATGTGCAATATCTTGTACAAGTAACCCCAAATATTTATATTGGTTCCCTGATATTTATATAGCCCTCTGGTTATTTCAGGGAGCCAGCTCCCTTTCAAATCTTCTCAAAAATTAGAAAACAATTAGTCACAGAACACAAAATATATTTGACTAATAATAATGCTAACAAATATAAATAATTTCTTTGTGTATATATAATTGCAATTTGAAAGGAGCAAATAAATCTTGTCTTGTCCAAACATAATCTTATGAGTACAAGAAGTAATTCTTGTTCTGGTGACGTAGATTTTAGTTTACAGCATTTAGTTTGGCTGTCTGAGGTTATAGGAGCTGTATGTGAACCATGGTACAGAAGATGTTCACAGGCTGGGGAAAGGTAGTTATAGAGTGGATCGATATACCGGATATATCCGGTATACCGGTATTTGTTTAGATACCGGTATGGCGATATTGACAATTTAAAAATACCGACATTTCGGTATTTTGCTGCGTAATACCGAATTGAAACGCTATTTCAAGTCAAACTTGCTTACAATCACGTTTAGAAAGCAAAGTTAATACTCACAGATGGACGATTTTCTTCTTACAGTTCTAGCAGCTTTGGTTTAGCAATACCAAGACGTCTTGTTTATTAAATCGCCTTAATCGGAAATATATAAATGGCGAAATTGCCACATTAATATTTTGTCAAAACTTGATTTTTCTCGACGGTCAGCAGTTCAGATTGGCTAAAAAAAACCGTTATGTTAAAAATATCGGAATACCGGTATTTACCGGTATTCTGATGGCGGTATTCTGATGGCGGTATATCGGTATTTGGTATTTGCGATATTGATCCACTCTAGGTAGTTATAATATGCTTTGAAACAAGAATAGTTTGAAAAGCCGGTGTAAAACGTAAAATCACTGTCACTGCAAGTAGATCCATCCCTGACACAGAGACGTTGTCCCTGGACTACCTGTCCTGTGAGATGCGATAGTCTCTTGATGATAGTCTCTTGATGATAGTCTCTTGATGATAGTCTCTTGATGCAATAGTCTCTTGATAGTCTCTTTTTATTTCACTATGCAAATTTATACTAGACAAACAAAACCATTCGCTTCAATATTGTCGCTTGCAACTATTATTAAAGGATGAACAGTCATAGATAAAACATTGTCTATTCTCATGACAAAGTACAATGTTTCTACCGAGAAACTTCAATGTTTGTGATGATCATGTAATCCGCTTGGAGCCAGTTAAGGTTACAGGACACCTTTTTTGGCGTTTTGCGGAAAATCGCTACTGCGCGCTCAATATGGCCTGAATGTGTGTAAACATGCTTTCAACGATTTAAAATGTTTAATTTTATGTAAATGTCGACAGAAGTCAAATCGGGAGGTAGCCTCACATGGGCTATTATGGCCCGTTCGCTATTTTCCCGTTTAGGAACTGCATGTTTGTTGTATTTGTACCTTATTAATGTAATATATTTGGTTCCTAATAAAGCTGTTAAAAAAAAAAGATTTTCATCAAATTTTCACCAAATGTTCTCCAGTGCATGCAAAATATGGTAAAGTTGTAAAATTAACAAACAATAAAATAATGTAAGAATTATTCAGGAAAATCTTAAATCGCGGTACCGTTACGCTTTTGAGTTATGTTCCTGCTGGTTTTAAGTTATATTTATGAAAATATCATTTTTATACAGTAAAATAGTTGTTCTAAAAAATTGTGTTCGGAAATTTTTGTTTATTTCGTCATTCCGCTGATATGGCGATTACTTTGATGACTGCAATATATTTCTGAATTGTTTCAGTGAATTTCTCTTTGTTTTTAAAATATCCAAAATTACAAAAAAGCCGAACACAATTTTTTTGAAACGTCTTTAGCTATGTCCTGTGAAAATTTGAGAAAAATTGGTTAAAACCCGCAGGAGCACAACTCGTTTGAAAATCAGTAATTACCGTAAACATTTCCGGGAGAAAATTGATTTGAATATTACATTTTCAATGTTTTTCTAATTGCAGCGAAATATATTTTATTAAATAACTCTGCGAGTTTTCAACATTGTTCGTTCAAACTAGGTCAGATAGTAGAACTAGTCTAATGCTTTCATGGAAACCAATAAAAAATTTTGGGGCAAAATTAACACTCAAAGGTGTTCTGTAACCTTAAACTGATTGGCTGATCAGATTAAAACCTGTCAAGTGTTCTTGACAAACATTGAAGATTCTCACACAAATAGGCAATGTCTTTTTCTGCAACTGTCCACCTTAGTTGCAAGCGACTGTATTTGGGCTGAATAAAAAATGGTGGATGTTGAGTCGCTTATCAGGGTAACTGGTTCTGATCTACTGGTGGCACATTTATGGTTAGTAGATTACAAAGAGTTTTATGAAGGAGGATCTATTAATGCATTCAACAAGCACAACAATCACAGCTTGTACTATACTTTATGTTCAACTTTGATGAATGCTTTTTCAAGCAATACTTATGCATTTATAATATCAGAGGGCTATATTAATATGGCTTTAATAAAAGATTGTATTTATCTGTTCGATTCTCATTCACGAAATGTTTTTGGTACACTGGTACATGCCCAATCCAAATGACAATAAATTCATACCCAGTTACAGTCAAACCGGATGTTCTCTTGCGAGCAACATTGCAATATTGACCCACAATATTGCAATTTTGATAAGCATATTGCTCTCAGCAAATTCAGGCGGTGTGCGCGCTACGACCGCAAAGCACTGTGGTAGTAACTTTCAGCTTTTCGAGGGAAAACATGGCAAAGTATTTGCTGAAAAGAGGTAAGTTCTCTATAGTTTATTACACTGATTTTGATAGAATTTATTCACCATTATTTAATTTTTAGAAACTATTTATACCCTTGTGTGTATGTACATTTTAATATTTCAAAAACGTTCATTTGAACCAAAGTAATATGCCTCGTGAATTTGTGTTGATGTTTTGTTTAATTGATGACCTAATTTGAGCAGGGTCACTTTTTTCCTGTTTTTTATTAAACTACATATAAAAATTAACTTGTATCCATAGAATTGTATAGTAGACACCATAAGATATCTAAAATGTTTATCGCACCCCATCACACCGTGCATTTTCACAGAATGCTGAATGGCTGCGAAGAGAGTATTTAACCTGTCTCCAGGTGATATGCCAGGGAAACCAAAAAATAAAGTACCAACTCATCAACCTCATTCCAGGAAGAGTCTATTTCAAAGTGAGGAAGTCAAGCAAGCTGAACCTGCCAGACAGGAAAAACCGATTCCTTGGTCTGAAAAGGAGACGAAAGCCTTGGTTCAGTATGTATGTCTTTTCTGGAAGGACGCTTGGAAGAACAAGTGGCCTAGTACAAAGGACCAAAACTTTTGGAAGGAGTGTGCAAAAGCAGTTAACAAGGCATACTGTTCCAGTCGAACAGGTATAAATGTCTTGTATAGATACATATTTGTTATGCACTTATGTACATGTCTAGTCATTGTAAAGTCCCTTTATACCATGGAGCAAGGGGGCATATTCCATAAAGGGCATATTCCATAAAGGTCACATTCTAAATTGTTTTATTTTCCTGCTGTATGGGCATTGTTCCAGATAACTCCCCCACCCTTACCCAGGGAGCATATTACATAAAGGTCACATTCTAAATTGTTCTTTTTCCCAGCTATACAGGCATTTTGTTTAGAGGTACTGATCTTATTAGCAATGTATGAAGCTTACTAGTACCTGTATGTGTCATACTTAAATGAATATGCATTTAAACCAAGTCACGACTCACGACGCTTGGACCAGTAGCAATATATTTTATGATTTATAACCCATACTTATTCATTTTGAAACTTTTTTATTACTTTTATTTGTTTTATTTAAGGTGTATCATGTAGAACCAGAGTCCTAAAACATCTGGCGAAGAAATTTCCTACTTTGAGTGATGCAGAGGAAGCATTTAACATTGATTATGTTGTTCATTCAGATGAGAATGTTGGTGGAATATCTCCCAGGATGCCATTTAGTTCCCTAGTTATTAATGATAGTCTGTCTCCTATATTTAAAACATCATCAGCAAAATCATCCTTACCCTCTAGAAGTGTTGGTGATATTGTTCAAGATTTTATTACGGCTTTTAAGTGCACCATGTCACAGAGATTAAAAGAACAACTGGTCCATTACTTGTATAAACTTATGGTCATTGAACTTGGTGGCATGCCATTATACAAGTTTGTAGAAGCAGACTTCCTTGATGTGAGCTTAAGTGCAACGAACACTTTATTTAAAGAGAACAAGAAAAATCTTGTTCATAGCCTGTCGCGCTGCTTTGAAAGAAAAGGGGCTGAGTTGGATACAAGAATGCCGTTGCATTGTATGCCATTTGGTCTCATAGACTATAACTTACGTTTTTTTCTACGAATTACACTCAGAAGCTTGGTATTGAGGATCACTATGTGCAGTGGTTAGAGACAATGTTTGCTCATTTTGGACACAAGTGGATGTGTTTACATCGTGGTCCTGCTTGGCAGTACGAAGTGAAAGTTGAAGCGCAAGAACTATCAACTGAATGTGAACCTATGTTGTCAAATATTTTAGAAAATGCACTAGAATTTAGTGGTATAAGCTTCTTGTCTGATGATATGGAAAACATTAATACAGAGCCACAAATAGGTAAAATCGTTTGATTCATGGTTCTGACATAACATATTACTATAGAATCCCTATACGGTACTGTAAGCCCATCCTGTCAATCCTGCTCATTACCAAACCAACTAAATAAAAGTTTATAAAATTTTAGAAAATGCACAAGAAATTGACACCAGTTCAAGTTTCTTGTCTGAAGATATGGAAAACATCAATCCTGAGCCACAAACAGGGGCGTAGCGAAGGGGGGTCCAGGGGGGTGCCTGACCCCCTCAATGTTACGCCTGTCGGCAAAACATGGACTTCTGTTGGCAAATTTAATGTTTGGATGCGATGTAGACAATGCTTTTTTGCAGAAATTTCAAAATTTCGGGAGAATATTTAAAGGCAAAAAATATCAATAGAATTAAAAAACGGCGATAAGAATGTTGGGAAAATAAGAAAATTCCAACAAAATGTCAGGTTGGGAAAAATGTAGGTTGGGTAGGTTTAACGGTGTGCAAAATAAGTTCCAGGACAAGCTCGGGAAAAGTGTTCCATACATTCCATGTTTAGCACATTGTTCGAACACGGTCATAGAACACAGTTGCAAGGCAAGCCCAATTATCACAGAACTTTTCAACGTTTTGGAAGCACTTTATGTGTTTTATACGGGTAGCACAAAACGCATGTCTTCACTGGAAGACTCGATTCAGTCCATGAAAGTAGACGATCCACTGAACCTAAGAAATCTCTCCAGAACTCGATGGACTGCTCGTGCTGAGTCCATAAAGTCTGTGTGGATCTGCTACGAAGCCATCCTAGACAGCCTTTCCAACCTTGAACAGTCGGATGACGGTACTGCTTCTGGTTTGCGTTCCAAGTTGCTGCGCTTTGATTGTATTATGTCAATTATGTTTATGAAGAACATGATGTACAAGACCAAGCGAATGATGGAGACACTTGCATAGTGAACCCATTGAGTGCCAGCGCTCTCTCATTCACAAATAAAATTGCCTGGCTTTAGACAGAGTAAAGTAATAAAGTAGGGCACAAATGCAACCCAATGGGGGTAATTTTACTTTTGTAAAATACTAGTGTATATATTTAAGTATTAAATTTCTGTGACAATAAGGCCTGTGAAAGGAATCTTGACGCGTGAGGTGGTAGTTGGACTGGTTGCAAATCTTGAAAGTCGACATTTGCGAAGAATAGAGAATGCCCAAAGAGGTTTACAACCTGAACATCCAAGGTCATCATCGACTGACGATGTTGAAGGTTTCATTTCCCTGCTACACGAGATGCTTGGTCCAATTTTTGATATTAAGCAGTTTTACAGTGAGCAACCAAAAATTCTGAATCAATTGCCTGGCTTTAGACAGAGTAAAGTAATAAAGTAGGGCACAAATGCAACCCAATGGGGGTAATTTTACTTTTGTAAAATACTAGTGTATATATTTAAGCATTAAATTTCTGTGACAATAAGGCCTGTGAAAGGAATCTTGACGTGCGAGGTGGTAGTTGGACTGGTTGCAAATCTTGAAAGTCGACATTTGCGAAGAATAGAGAATGCCCAAAGAGGTTTACAACCTGAACATCCAAGGTCATCATCGACTGACGATGTTGAAGGTTTCATTTCCCTGCTACACGAGATGCTTGGTCCAATTTTTGATATTAAGCAGTTTTACAGTGAGCAACCAAAAATTCTGAATCAATTTAAGAAAAGAATTGACAGTGATTTGGGATTCTTCTACTCGACCGGAGCCAAAACACGATACAACGATTATGAACTACCTTCCTTCAATGAACCCTCTGGACCAGGATTAGTTGAAAGATCGGATAACGTACAGCTGTCAAGAGGAGGCGACCCTGGCGTTTTTGTCGGAAACCGACCATCTCCACCACAGAAAGGCCAGCTGACTGCTAGAGCGAAATTTCACCGAGCCCCAATAGCCTTACCACCATTGCCACTTACTTGATACATTGTCGTCTGGCATTCTACAATCAACTTACTGTTATTAATTAAGCTGCTCTCTTATTATTCCAAACTCTCATCACCAGTTGAATTTTGTAACTAGTATGAAATGGTACAGCAATAGGTTTGCATGGTAAGCTATTACATAATGTTATGTTTAATGAGAAAGAACTAGAAACGTAAGTCAAAGTGGCAATGTTTGGGCTTGAATTGAAATCGTAGGTGAAAAATTGTTTACATGTGTTAAGTCTGGTTCACATATACCTGCGGTATGTCGGTGGGCAAATAATTCACAAAAGAATGTATGCACCAACAGCTGTAAACAATGATAGTGCAGGCATATGCAAACCAGGCTTAATACAGATATTTTAATTAATTAATATACCTTTTTTAAAGTAACTTTGCACCTGTAGATTTCATAACTAGAAAATTTTGCATTGAAGAAAAACAACATGACACTATTGTATTACCAAAATATCAATTCCACAAAAAACAGTGTACAAATAACAGTGCATTCAAGTGCAGTGCATTCTCTACTTTTTTTACTTTACACGTTTACTTGCTTTAACAACCTCCTTGTCCCACAACCCTTTCTTTGAAAGTTCTATTGTAATATAGTATCCAACCATCCAAAAATTTGTGCAAAACCGAATGTGTCTCACTGAAACAGTGAAATCGGGATCATGCAAGTGCTGGTGAACATACTTAGTTAATTCGCTTGCAATATAACCCACTTTTTTATATTCATAATCGGTTTGAACAAAAACTGCTATTGCATTACTGTCATATGCATTGTCTACTTCATGTTCCAGTTTGACAAAAACTGGCCTATTGTATTCATTTAGGTAGGAATACGCTTCCTCAAGGGCATCTTGTCTACATGTCGAGTGGCATGTCCCAAGCACTTTGAATGGTAAAGTGTGCTGAGTATCTGTGTCACTCTCATAGCTTTCTTTAGGAGCTGGCGTAGGTTCTGCTGCTGCCTGTGCTGTTGCCTCACATAGTTCAACCTGGCAGTTTGAAAATTTCCAGAGAACTGTATAGTCAATTTCATCGATCTTCACTTGGCAATATGAGGTACATTTAACTTTTCCAGGAGAAATGTCTACCCCTCTTTTTACCAAGCCATTCAAATTCTTTCCATTTATTTTAATTTTTGCCTTGGTAAACTCTATGGACATTACTGGAAAACAAGGAGTTGTCAATACTGGTTACTGTGACATCCAACTCTGTTTCTTCATCTGTAAATCAAAATTATAAATATCAGAAAACACCAGTCGTTTAATTAGAAAACATTAACTGTTGCCTTCATGTAGATTCTCAATCTAAATATTTTTTAAGGGAACTACAGTATTATAACGACCAGTCTAGCCCGCTTACTATAGTAATCATATAATGTTTCAATTACATACCAGCTTGCTTTGCAGCTAGATGTCTCATTTGTTGCAAGTGGGCTAGCCCGGTTTCCCAGGATAAAATTTCCATGTAATTGTTTCATCCTGGCAAACCGGGCTGAAAAATTTCATATTTTAATTAAGCTCTATTTACCTGTGTTTAGGGCATCAGAGGCTGCTTTGGTTACAGGTACATTTATCTAAAGGCAAACAAAAATTTGACAAGAATAGTTGACAACATCCATGAAATTGTTGCTTGTACCCCCTTCCCCCAGGATTCACATTTATAAGTGCAACTCACCATCTGCAAACAAGGAAAACTGTTTTGTTTGTTTCCATTTTTCATGTCAATATTTCCTGCAGCCAAGTCATTTGCATATTGCTTGTCAATAATACTGATCATAGTTATGGAATTCTTATATAGCCTATAGACCATATATTGTATTAACAAAATAGGTGTAATTTGGCAATTCCAGAAAACATTCATGCCTCGCCCATGGAGGAAATAGGAATAATGGGAACTAACCCACTACCCTTGATGGATGTCCTAATACTATTATCAGAAATAGTACTATTGTCCTAGTACTATTATCAGAAACAAATGTTTTTCTCCTCCCCCTCCTGATGGCAGAAATTTCTGAGGGGAGTGTTGATCTTTTCCGGAATGACCCATTATAGTTGGTTTACATGCATCAAATTTGTCAAAGTTACAATCTATAAAAATGTAGAAAGGATACGCCCCACAATAGGATTGGTTGTCAGGTTCTTTATCCCATTTTGCCAAAGGTTGAACTTCTAATTTAGTCTGGTCAAAAACTGTTTGGTGCATGAAAACTGCTACAACATTTGCAAACCACCTTTCATACAGATCTGGAGAACCCTTTTTTTTAGCTCAAGGAACAATTGACCAGACTTCACAAAGGTAAATGCTTTGTTTATACCAACTCCACAGATGTTTTTCAGATAGTCACATCCAGCAGCAATACAGCCCTGGACGAACTGAGGCATTGTGACCTTTAATCCACCAAGCACTTTATTCAGCTCAAAATATTCCCCCTCCCCACTCAATGCAAGTTTGACAACAACCTATTAAATTTTAGAAAGAAAAAATACAAATGACCCATCTATCCAATTCACATACAGCATACGTAAAACCTGAAATACTAACCTTCTCACAACCATAAACAAGCAGATCTGAATCCTCCGTAACAGCAAAATCTGCATATCCATGCTTTAACAAGAAAGCAATTTGGGCATCACTTTCATATGGGGACACCAAGTATTTTATTCCTTGGCACAAGCAAAGCTAAAACATAATATCAATTACATTATCAAACTACTATTATAATATATCAAACGTGGAAACAAAGATAATAGTAGGGGCCGGGGGTGTTTATATGTGTCCTACATGAAGGCCTGGCCCTCCCAGGCAAGACCCACATTGATTTTGTTTTTTTATGAGATGAGGGCCAACCCTTCAAGGCAAGTAATATGGCTGACCCTGCTAGTGAGGCTGATTAATTTAAAAACACTGCCATATACATCTCAAACTTGGCTTTTATACAAGAATATTCAATTCCCGTGTAAGCACAAGGTAAAAACCAGCCTTACTGTAGCGTAGGGCTAGCCATTTATGTAAGGCTCTTATATACAGTGTAAAAATAGCCCCTGAGTTAAACTTTAGTTTACCTTTATGCATTCAACAACATCATATGTTATTTCGGCGCTTTGGCTCAGCAACTTGTTTCTCTTTCTGTCACCGATATCCTGCTTCTGTGCTTCTGCTAAATGCTCTTGTCTCTCACTATTTGGAGAAAACAACCGTTAAAATGTATTTCTTATAAAATACTAAACTCGACTAGAGCTATAAATAAGCATGTGCTTCAGGCTGTTGTTTACCTTCGCCTTCGAGCTGTTTCCTTATCTTTCGCTTGCAACGGTAGCCCGTCAAACACAATAAATGGAACCACTCCAGAATCTTGTAGTAATTGTATATGGCTGCTAAATATCCGGACAAACCTAGACACAATGCATCATAATTAACGGGATTTCAAAGTTATTAAACCTTCGAAGTATATTGTAAAATCTCATTGATTCCTCACCTCTCACAATTTCCTGTCTGAGATATAGACACTGCCAAGGCTTTATGTATAATGCACGATGCATCAACAGTTGCTGTTTTCCCTGAAAAGCTAGTTATATGTACTTTCGACGAATAAGATTTTATAAAAGGAAAAAGACAATTTATTCCCACTTAATATTCATTTATTCAGAGATGTTCATTCGACCTCGACCAAATGCAAATGAATTGCATTCGGCCTAATTCTTTGAAACAACCACAGTGCCTTGCGGTCGTAGCGCGCACACCACCTGCAGCAAATTGCAACTGACGCGAACAAATTGCAAGTTGGAAATTCACAAAACATTTGTAAACAAAGCCTCTGATTGGATTATAAGAAAGAGGGAAGCCAATCAAATAGTCTGAGCAACTGGATTGGTGCTTCCCCCATAGGCGTACGGGAGGGTGGGGCTGGGATTCAACTTTTACAGGTTCAATCATGCACTGTAAATCTGTAATGGCAACGATTGTGTATATTTATTACTACCATAGATTGCATAGCTGGATTCAAGCATGTTGCGTCAGGTTAACATTTATCAAAGGTCAAGTGCTCTAACTTAATCGGATTTGGTTTTGATCTTTACGCACATACCACAGACGTAAATCCCCACAGAAACGGCTAGAACGAAGGACCAATTGCTATGGCTACTAATAAAATGTCACCACTGTATTCATGCCTATATTCAGCAGTTTTACCTAGCATAATGTAGGCTATACAACTATTAAACTATATAAATATATAGTATATAGCTGCACAAGGTGTGGTGATTGCGAAGGTGTGGTATATAAAGTGTGCGTAGCAACAATCGGATCAGTAATGTTTATCTCCCTTTATAGCATTGGTTGCGTAAATACAGTCTCTGGCCCTGGGCGGCACCGCGGCTATGACACAGCAGTCACTGAAAATAGATACTACATTATAATTGACATTGACGTTACCGTACAAATACTGTACAATGACCTAATGTGACTAATTTTAGACTTTTAGATAGACATAAAAGTGCGCGATTTTTTTACAATCATTAAAAAATTGTTGATTTTACGACCATTAACTCCACAATCGCTATAGCAACAATCGCCTAGAAGATTACAATGGCATCTCGTAAAAGACAGTACCGACATCGCGTTCAGTGCGAGGAATGCAATAGGGAAATCGACAGTGATTATAAAGAGGCGCCGCATCCTCGATTGGTTCACAATGGTAAAAAAGTAAAATGTGATCCAGTGATAGAATCATCGGATTCTTCCCAGTCAAAAATCAATACTTTCTTTGTAAAAAGTAACATGACAACCAAGAACGATGACCTGCAGTATGACCTAACCCTACTTGGAACTGAATTGACTGGTAGTAAAGATTCTGCAGTCACGGTGTCTTTTGATAAAGATCTATCAGAGAAAAATGTGAAGGAACCCATGAGCGAAGACCAAATGGAACCAATGACAACGTTCACTGATGTTGATCAATTAAATTCACTGTCACAGCTCAGAGAAAATAGTGAACAGAATACGGTGACGGACAGTGAAAATGTTACACCATCTTTAGGTCGAAACGCGGACAGGGTTGCCTTCCTCCTCAACTTTGATCTCTTGCTCCTTATCCTCGCCTTTTATCGTGTCCCATAAAATTTCCACCTATTTTAGTTTCTACATAATCGTAATTTCCCTAGTTTTTTACGTACATGTTCATCACAGGACTGAGTCGGAGTTAAGAAATTAAGAACAACAATTTTTGGAATACTGGTCCTCATTATTTAGGCTACACAATGTCTTGCACCAGTACTTGTCCAATTACCCATTTATACCAAAAAATGTTGTTACGGTAGTAACTTTCTCTTTCTTTGTAAATCGTAATGCCATATATTTAGTTTATAATTGAAATGGCTAGGGACAACATATTTCTTTTTATATCAATCTTCAAGGACTTCAAAGGAAAGCCTTTCATTTGTAGTCTTCTTAGATTATATAATTTTATGATGACGTCACGAAATCTATGACGTCATGTCATTCGGGCAAATTCAGCCCAGCCCCCCCAAAAATAATATGCCCGTACACCTATGGCTTCCCCCTTTCTTATAGTCCAATCAGAGGCTTTGTTTACAAAACGTTTGTGAATTTCAACTTTCAATTTGTTCGTGTCGGTTGCAAATTGCTCGGAGCAATCTGCCTATCAACATTGCAATATTGTGGGATAATATTGCAATGTTGCTCACAAGAGAACATCCGGTTTGACTGTAATGCGAATTTATAGAACTTCAAGACATGCAATTACTATTATTTCATTTCATTTCATTGACTTTATTTACCGAGGGTAACACACGACAGTAAGCGTGAGCTACTGATAAATTAGTGGCCCTCATTAGTGGCCCTCATTACTACCCTGAAGACTGCCCAATTACCCAAGAGACGACTGGGGAAGACACAGGATCTTCCTGTATTTACTCGCAGCATTTCACTTACAATTTGTAATTCTAGTTTCTATTATAGTTCTCACATTGTGGTATAGTATTGTTTACATATTCTGGTGATTTCAACAGTTTCACTTCTATTCATCTCATGCGAAGTGCTTGGTTCACTCTCCATATTACATAGTTTAAAAATTTAAAAACACCTAGACACTTTTATACCGACTACAAAAGTTTACAATATATTTATCTAATTTTAAACTGAATTTAAATGAATTTACCTAAAATATCCTGTCTAAATGTTTATGAATTTACCTAAAATATTCTATCTAAATGTTTATTTCCTATGCTATAAGATCAAAAATTGAAATTTATTTACCTAAATATTATTCTATAACCCACGATCAATTTATTAAATTAGAATGGAGGATGAAAACCAAAGCAAACTTCAACTAGCTTGAGGACAAATAACAGCAGTAAATCAAGAAAAACATTTGGCAAGGCCAAGGCACTTCAATGGCAAATTCGAACAAAATCGTTTAACGACCAGTCATAAAGTAAAAGGGGTGTGGGCTGGGAAAATAGGAGGGGTGGATCACTATTTCCGAACATGGTTGAAGGGGTGGGTCATCGGTATTAAAATTCATATTATAAAAATAGCTATTGAGTATTGTAACACAGAATTATTTGGCAACAGAAAAATGGAACGCTGGTATCTTTCGCCTTTCTGAAAGGGTGGGTCATAATTTTTCAGCACCAATTTAAGGGTGGGCTACAAATTTTCGAACAGCTATTAAGGGGTGCGCTACCAAAATTGCAGACACCAAATATTTGATTTTCCCACCCCATCCCCTTTTACCTTATGACCAGTCCCTTACAACATATGTCAATTTCAGGAAGCTTAAAAGACTTTTGTACAAGAACTGTAGTAAAATATCCCAGAGATCAAATAAGAAACACTATCAGTTAACCTTATTTTGTAAAAAAAAAATTAGCCGGTCACAAGTTGAAAAGCGAACTCACCTGTTTTAGTTTGTTTGGTCAATTTTTCACAAGCAAATGTATGCGAAGCATGTTCACAACTTGTCGTCTTCTCAACAGATTTGTAGTGACAAACCTCATAATGTTCCAAATTGATGGACACTTAATGTTGTTAAAAATCTGCTGATTTTTCTCTCACACAAAATCGACCGCTCATACAGCAGCCATTTCATTCGAAAGCAAATTGCATACTCCTACCGTCATGCCTAGCATGCCTAGTGCTATAAGCTAGCACATTTATATTTATAGTGACACTAGCTTTGGAACCGTACAAGTAAATTAACGCTATATTAGAAATATTTTGTAAATATTTACCTTGTTAATGTGGTGATACAATATGTGATGAACAGGAAAAGCCAAGAGGCAGATAGCCCCAAATCCCGATTCGAAATGCAAGACAGTTGCTTTTTCGAGTTTTTTTTCACTTTCCAGAGAAAAATATTTTTGTAGTAACATATTTTTGTATAAACATAGTTTGATAAACACTTTCACAGTGGGATTGACCACATTTCTTTCAAAAATTTGGTAACATATATGAACTTGATCAGTTGAAAATAATCAAAATATTTCGTACAATTTTATGCCCATGCGGTTTGACATTCATGCAATAATAGAAATTGACAGCCTCGATCGCAAGTAGAACTTTTAGTGCACAGGACCAGGATTTGATTGTGCATCAAAAGGAATGAATTTTTCTGACAGGTGAACTCTAAGAAAAGTAACAGGGGGACTTAAAGGTCACAGCTATAAGTAAGGGAGGGGCTAGTGGCCTGGTGCAACACCCAGCAACTGAAAATCACAAAACAATGAAATAGCCCCTGAAAATGCCTTGTTGAAGATACTAGCATCCTGTGCAGGCAACTCAAATGGAGAAAACAGCAGACTTTTTTGGCCTGGTAGGACTGAACTCATCACAATACTTATCACTATCCCCATCTCTTTCTAAATTACTATGTAATTTTCTAAATTACCATGTAATTTTCTAAATTACTACGTAATTTTCTAAATTACTATACATAGTAATGTTACTACACACCGTTTTGCCCATTGAGCAGCCTGCAGATACACTAAAGCAGTACAATTTTTATTTATAAATTAATAAAATTTATTGACGTTACAGTTTTTAATCGTTTCATTATGGTATATTACAATAAAGTACTCGGTATTAATTAAAACAAACTCGAATTTTTAGTTTAGTTACAAAGAAATGTATGAAATAAAGTGAGGATGACCAGTGGCGGAAATTCACTTTTTCCGGTGGGGGGCAAAGCCTCCTAAATTTCTGACAAAACTTTCAAATTTGCGACATACCCCCCATTTGCACTTGAAAAGACTGTTTTTAGCCCTCTTTTAGGTCAAAACTTAGGTTTTTATTTATTTATTATTTTTTCCCCTATGTACAGATTTTAATAATTACAAAACAACTTTCTTCTAATGATATTGGGCTAGGGACCTACTAGAAACCTTTACAGGCTTTTTGGTTTAGGCCCCTAGTTGTAGTTGTGGTTCATAATGAGGTTAATTAATATATTTACAGTTAAAGATAATGAAAAAAGTAATTTTTGGAATATATGCTATTTACAAAAGAAGGATGATAAAGCAGGAGTACTAAATAAAAGATTTATGTTAAAATATCAATAAAATCTGAAGACCGTATAATTTTATACATGATTCAGTAAAAAATACTGTTTCATTTCTTTCTTGAAGACATTATAGGAGTTTGTGCCTTTAAATTTTGGTTCTAATGAGTTCCAAATATCAATTCCTTTATTAGATAGACTGTGTTTTACATAGTTTGTTCTCTTATAACACTTATAGAGTTTTGACGCATTTCTCGTGTTGTATTGATGGATCTGATTATTTGTTACAAAATAATTTTCAAAAACTTCTGGTAGATTCTTAAGATGGTGGTAACGAAACATGAACATGGCAGTTAAATAATCGTTTATTTTGAAAATATCTAGGATGCCTAATTCTTTGAAAATAGGCTCAGTATGATCCAAATACGATTTAAATGTCATCAGTTGAACAATTTTTTTCTGTATATTCATTATTTTTTGTATTCGGGTTTTGTAGGTATTACCCCAAATCAAGTTGCAGTAGATAAGATATCGATAGACTAATGCATAGTAAATTAATTTTCCTGTATTTCGGGTTACAAAATGTCTAATTTTTGCTATTATGCCCGAAGCTCTTATAATTTTTTTTTCCACCTGAGTTATATGGTCTTTCCAGGTCAAACATTCATCAATAATAATACCAAGAAAGGTTGTACTTTTAGCTTGTTCTATATTTTTATTGTTTAGGTTTATTTTTATCTTATGTTTTGGTTTCTTATTGGAAGACCTAAATAAAATAAATTTGGTTTTCTTTATATTTAGAGATAATTTATTCACATTTAGCCATTCAGCAGCTTTATTCATTTCCACTTGAATAATTGTATTAAGTGACTTGAGACAGCTATTGCTATAAAATATATTAGTATCATCTGCAAACAATATAAATGAGAGTAATTTACTGCTATGCTCAATATCATTTATATATAACAGGAATAGAATAGGTCCAAGTATTGATCCTTGTGGAACACCAGTTTTAATTACCATCTCTTTTGACCTGACTTGGTTGTATTTAACAATTTGTTTTCTATTTGTTAAATAATCTTGAAACCATAGTTGTGCTATTCCCCGTATACCATAGTGTGCTAGTTTCTGAACCAGAATCTTGTGATTAATGGTGTCAAAGGCTTTTGATAAGTCAAGGAATATACCTATAGTGTATTCTCCATTGTCAATGGCTTTAGTAATTCTGTCAGTAAGTTCAATGATTGCAAGTTCAGTGGATCTATTCGCTCTAAAACCATATCGATGTTTGGTTAGGATTTTATTTTTTTCTATAAATTTAATTAATCTCTTGTTAAATTAATTTAATTAATCTAATTAATCTAATTTAATTAATTAATCTAATTTAATTTAATTTAATTAATTTAATTTAATTAATTTAATTAATCTAATTTAATTAATCTCTCTCAAAAGGTGGGGGGCAGCCGAACCCCCGCCCCACCAAGATTTCCACCATTGAGGATGACAACTCTTGGTGTATGCTATTTTTGTGAAGCCGAAGAATGCCAGACCAAAAATCAGAAAAGATTTGTCACCTTGGCCAATTATAAACAACTTGGAATGATTATGATACTTTCTTTACATTTATACTCTCCACCTAAAGTGGGCATCTAACTATGGCTATTCATTTTCTATGCAAAGGAAGGGAGGTACTTAATTTGCCAAGCATGCCGGCTGTCAAGAACTATTAAGCCATACAAAAAAGCTGTGCTGCACCAGATTGTAAAACAAGCAGACAGAAAATAAATAAACTATACTATGTACCAGTTGACTCTCTTGACCAAGACAGTAAACGCCACATACTAGGAAATATGGGAACAGAGGAAATTAGCAGGAATTGTCAAAAATGTTACCACATATCAAAACGAAAAGAGCTAGGTAACCAGAATCAAGACACAAACCTCTTTGGAAATGATGTACAGTCAGCTACTCGGTATGAAAAAGATCCAACAGTAACAGCTGCTACAAGGACAGGATGACCAAAGGTAAGCTACAAGATGCAAGTGAAGCTACCGAAAGAATGAAAGTTGAAGCAAAAACGGCCATTGCTAAAGTGGTACACAAATGCGACGAAATATCAAAAGGTTGCTGTCAGCAATCACGTAGTGCGGTAATTGAAAAAAAAAACAATGAAGCCCAAAAACTGGATAATATGATGAATGACTTATGCAAGTCCTACGAAAGGGAGAAACAGCATTCTTCCGGTCCTGCTAAACACTGACCAGGACCGACCGAGACTGTCTGTGAGAGAAATTTTGTATTAATGTTAGACTTTTCTGTTTTCAGCCACAACTA